TTCAGTGGTTTGGGCTTTAGGGGTTTAGGGTTTATCTACAGCCTCCCTTATAGTTCCTTTTTGGGGATACCTTATAAAATCCTAAATATATATTTGGTGAAACCAACAAAAGGAACTACAATCGAGACTGTAGGGAAACCCTTTGAGAGTCGCGACGCAAAGGGTGCCTGACCTACCTGCTCCATCAAGAAGATACTCGCCACGAATCCCAGTCAGCCCAAAACCCCTTAAATCAGGAATAATAGCTTGAATCATAATACGAAGCCCCTTCATGATTTAAGCTTTTTCTTATTTAAGGTGTATTGGGCTCTTTGGGTATGGAATTTGGAACCGTCTTCCCCAGCCGTCTAGATCTTGAACCACCCCCGGGACTTGAGCCCCAAAAAACAAGAGGGTTTAGGGTTTAGGGTTTAGGGTTTAGGGTTTAGGGTTTTAGGGTTTAGGGTTATAGCTACACAGACCACCGCAAGGATCTGGAAAGTTTAATTTGGGACCCTATACTACTCAAGGGTGCTTTAAAGGAACCCCCTTAGGGGGATCTATTTGTTAGATCCTTCCGGTGGTCTGGGTAGGAGTTTAGCCACACTAGAAGGGACATGAACAACTATCCCAAATCGGGTGCCTAATGAAAGGCTTCTATCTTCAAGAACTCTAAAAAAAAAACCTTAAAGGAATGCGCTTTAAAGAATCCCTCACAGTAGCCCTGCCTCACCCGAGAGACCCCGCTGTGGCTTCCAAGAGCTCAGGGCAAAGGCGGCCATGGAGACAAAGGCCCCCAGCAGGTGGAGTTGGATGTATCCTGGGGCTTTAGGATCCGAGTTGAAAGCTTAGGGGCTTGGGTTTGGGGTTTGGGGTTTAGGGTTTGGGGTTTAGGGTTTAGTTTGGGGTTTTGGGTTTGGGGTTTAGGGCTTAGGTGTAACAGGGTTTAGGCTAGAGGGTTCAGAGTCAGATTAGAGTTTATATGTGCTGGGGCTAAGTTTAATGTGTAGACTTGGGGTTCATAGGCGTTAGGGCTTACAGTTGGATGTATCTTGAGGCTTTAGGGTCTAGGGCTTGGGGTTTGAAGTTGAATGCATCCTGAAATTTGGGAGCAGCGGGATGTATTGGTGTCTGGATATTCTTGCACATTGCGACGTGTCACCCATGGCTGGTCTGCCTGTGACTTTCAGACCCCCCCGACATCGGAACCTCAAATTGAAGGGGGGGTCCAGAGAGCAGCTACACCTAAACATCGTTTCGCTTAGTGCAGGGGCCTTGATAATTAGAAGAGGGTTTTGGGGACTCCTTATTATATTTATGTAGTATGATATACCCCGAAACCCTATTCTAATTAGTAAGGCCCCTAAACCCTAAACCTCTAGGGTAGCCTTTACAGAACCCTTGAAGGATCCCTTTGAAGGAACCCCTATTGTAGTCGTGTAAGGCCCCTATATATCAAGAGCACCTTTCATGACGGCTCAGGGAGTCATGGGGTCCCAGTGAGAACCCTGCCAGCCATAGCAGACACTGGCACGAAAGGCGAATTCTGGCCAAGAGGCGGTAGTGGTTCCTGGGCGTTGGGGAGTTTAATCACTCGGCTGCAGGATTGAAGGCTTAAGGGTGTAGGGTTTAGGGCTGTGGGATTGATATGGTTTAGGGGTTTAGGAAAGTTTAGGGTGCAGGGTTCCCATCGATCCCGTACAATAACCACGTATCCTGCGATTGGAGATGTGGCATGCAGAGCCCTAAACCCTAAACCCTAAACCGTAAACCCTAAACGAAGTGAGTTTAGCTGTGTGGGTCTCCCTTGAGGCTCATACTCTCCCCCTTATTCAAGGGGTCTACTTTTCCATACGTATAACAGATCCTGACTAAAGAGCTAGGTACCCGAAAAAGTTCAGAGGTTGCGGGGTTTAGCGTACACAAGTGCTTAAGAAGCGCAGACTTTCCAGGGGATTGGAAGCTGCTTAGGTTTAGGGTTTAGGGTACTGAGGGAACAAATGCACGTGTTGGATAGGGCATCAGTTGGTTACAGCGTGTTCATACAAGTAGGATATCTATTATGTATATGTGCATACACAGGGGTGTATACATCTGTGAATATACTTTGCAAACATATGTACCGTATACACATCTATGCACTTTGGGGAGGCAGAAAGAGGCTCAGCTTAGAAGCCTGAATCTTTAGACTAGGTTTTCAGGGGTCTAGGGTTTGGGGATTTTTTGGATTTAAGTTTCCGGGGTTCTGCTATACCACATATATGTTCAGGAGTCAGGAACCCCTACTCAACTCCCCCCAAAAGTACGCCCCCAAGCCCTAACAGCCCTAAAGTCGGAACCTTAAGGTTGAAAACCATACACTAACTGTTAGGGTTTAGGGTTTAGGGTTTAGGGTTTAGGGTTTAGGGTTTATAGCCACACCACTATACCTGTAGGCCTGTAGGCTCTATTGTAGTTCCCTTTTGGGGGTTTATACTTAGGATCCCATAAGGTCATCCCACAAAAGAACTACAATGGAGCCTATATATGCGTAACACATAGTGTAGGAGCCATAATAATTCGAATAGGGTTTTGGGGTACATTATACTATAACCATATTCAGGAACGCTTAAGGCGCCTATATTAAACTCTAAGCCCAAAACCCAAAACCCTATTCTAATTCTTAAAGTGCCTAGATCGGACCATAAGCCCTGAACCCTATTCTAACTTAAAGCGCCTAGATTAAACCCTAAACCCTGAACCCTATTCTAATTCTTAAGGCGTCTAGCTTAAACCCTAAACCCTAAACCCTATTCTAATTCTTAAAGCGCCTAGATTAAACCCTAAACCC